TCTTCACCATCTTTTTCTTCTTCACCATCTTTTTCTTCTTCACCATCTTTTTCTTCTTCACCATCTTTTTCTTCTTCTTCTTCCGATTCTCCAAATATTACTACACCAAATTCAATTAGTTTACCTTTCCCTAATATTTTAAATAAAGATTTCTTTGCGCAACCTGTAAATAATAATGATGACTTTGATATGTACGAATCTAAAAAAATTCAAGAAATGTACCCATTGTTTGGTACCTCCGAGACTTCTGAACCCGCTCAAAAATATATGGGCCAACCTTACGAAATTCCTTCCAAAGACGTTCAACAACATGAAGATCCCTTTCTTTCCATTTCTTCCACTACTTCCACTACTATTGGAACTTCAGTTACTGCTGAACCCACTCAAGAATATATGGATCAACTTTATGAAATCTCTTCCAAAGATGACATTTACGTTCAACAATATGAAGATCCCGTTTCTTCTACTTATTTTCCTTTGAATGACGAAAACAATTTTGATTGTATTGGCAATCCGTACGAAATTAATTCCGAAAGAAATTTTATTGCAAATCAATTATCTATTCAAACAACAGACGAAAATATTATGAACACGGATTCGGTTTCCAATGGATTCGAAACTGTTATTCCACAACCTGAAACTTCCAATATTACCGAAAAATATTTCGTTTCAACTTCTGTATCTCCTATTATCATTACCGACATTACCCAACAACAATTTGATTCGATTACCGAAACTTCCGTATCTCAACAACATTCAATTTCGCAACCTGAACTTGACATGAATTCCATATGTAATCAACCTTGGGACAATAATTATATCCCATCTCAATATCAATCTTTTTCGGAATTTCTTAACCAATTTTATGGTGTTTCCGATTATTCTAATTATTCATCTTTGGATTATTCCAACCTTTTCCAATAATGACTCTTTTGTTTGTTATTTTTGCTGTGATCTTTTCCTTGAAGGAAATCCTCACGGGTATATTCAAGCATAAGGGATTGATATCTTCAATGAGTAGCCGTATATTGGATTCTATAAACATTCGTAGACGCCAATATTTTGCTACATGTTGAAAGGTAGCAATCCCTTATGTTTGATGTGCTTGTGAGGAGTTAGTTTGCGGAACAGAATTCAGCGATATCTCAATAATATAAAGTTTAAATTTAATTTGATAATTTGATAATTGAAAATTCAATGTAGTTTTTTTGGAATACGATAGTATTTTTTTATTTATTTATTTATTTATTTCTCTAATTATCAATATTATTAAATATTATTTATATTATCAAATATATTTTTTTCTTTCTTTTTTTGTATACACATTATATACATATATTGTATTTATCTGATTATATAATTAAATAAATTTTTAAAAAAAAAATAATAATTTTTGAATGAATTTATATAAAATGTTACATAAAAGTGAGGGAAGATTATTATATTTACATATCACATATCAAGAATTAATATTATACTTCTATTCTTAACATTAAGAAATAACGGTTCGATCATGAATTTCTTTCTTTAGCATTTAGGGTCAACCTTTTTTAACGACACGTAATTACATCTTTATTATTAGAAATTTTCACAATTTTTTTGTTTTAATGCAATTAGAAGATCACAAACCAATAAAATTTTGACACCTAGAAGTCTTTGGTTCCAATAAAAATTTGACACGAAACATATATTCATGTAATGAAGAAATGATAAATATTTATATATGAGAGTTCTTCGAACAAAAAAATTTCGAAATTCAGTTTCGAATTAATCCTTCACATTTGATATAATCTATACACATAATTGTAATAATAATAATAATAATAAAAAATGAAGTCCAAATTTTGGCTTCTTTTATTAATAACGTCATGTTTAATTACATATTTTACAATTTTTCCGATAATTGCTGTTTCAGCTTCGGAATCTCCCGAAGACTCCTCTAACAAAAAGAAAGATTTCGTAATGCAAGATGAAAACCTTGATGAAAATATTAATGTAATTAAAGATAATGACCCGAATTCTGAAACGTCTCTTCCTAATTTTGGGTTTACAAGTGAACAAGCGGAAAAACTTAAAGAAACGGAAGAAAAATTCCAATTTCAGGTAATAAAAAGTTGAAAATACTTTTTATATCAAACATTGAAAGATAATTTTTATTATCTAAAATCAAATTAAATTTTTATTGAATTAATGTGTACTAAATTAAATTTCTTAAAAAACGCGTTAGACTGAAGTATCTCGACTTATGAATTTAATTATCAACTCGTTGTACAAGACACGTGAAATATTCTTGAGAGAACTCATTTCTAATGGTATTTATGATTAAAATTTTCTACCAAAATATATAATAGAATTAAATAGAACTAATTTTGTTTAATTCTTTACATAATAAAATAAAAAAATAAAATAAAAATAAAATAAAAAAATGTAGCATCGGATGCAATTGATAAAATTAGATTTCTCGCACTCACCGATCCTAACGCATTGAGTAACAATTCCAATTTAAACATTACAATATGGTCCGATCCTAAAAATAATATATTAACAATCACTGATACGGGAATTGGTATGACGAAAGAACAACTTAAAGAAAATTTAGGAACCATAGCTAAATCTGGAACATCAGAATTTTTACAAACTATCGAAGAAAAAAAATCGGATGATAATATGAATTTAATTGGACAATTTGGAGTAGGATTTTATTCGGTATTTTTAGTAGCCGATAAAGTAATAGTTACCACTAAACACAATGATGATGAACAATATATTTGGGAATCTCAAGCCATCAATGATTTTACTATTGCTAAAGATCCTCGAGGAAATACTTTAGGTCGAGGCACGCAAATTAAATTACATTTAAAAGAAGATTCCCTTTCATTCCTTGAAGAAGGTGTTATTCGTGGTCTTATATTAAAATATTCAGAATTTATCAATTTTCCAATTTGGTTATGGACAAAGAAAACGGAAGAAGTTGAAATTGATGATGATGATGATTTAGTTGACGAAAGTGATAAAAAAGAAAAGAAAGATGAAAAAGACAATAAAGATGAAGAAAAAGATACTGACGAAGCTGAAGTTGAAGATGTTACAGAAGAGAAACCAAAAAAGAAAACAAAGACTGTGGAAGTACCAGGATGGGAACTTATGAACACACAAAAACCTATTTGGACGCGTGATCCCAAAAACGTTTCGGATCCTGAATATGAAAATTTCTATAAATCTTTTGCGAAAGACGATGCTGCACCTCTGGCATGGACACACTTTAAGGTACATAAATAGAATAATGTTATATTTATATTATATTATTTCATTATCATCATATTATTACAATTATTAATTATTATTGTTATTTATTATTTATTATTTATTATTATTTATTATTTAGGCTGAAGGGGAAGTAGATTTCAAATCTATTATTTATATTCCATCAAAGGCTCCACCAAATCTTTATCAAAAAGTTCAAGAATTTACTAGAAATATCAAATTTTTCGTTAAACGAGTATTTATTACTGATGAATTTCTTGATTTCGTTCCAAAATATTTGGCATTTATTAAAGCAATTATTGATGCGGATGATATACCGTTGAATGTATCACGGGAAACATTGCAACATCATAAAGCACTTCAATTAATAAAGAAACGAATAATTAAAAAAACATTAGATATGATTATGAACCTTTCAAAAGATGAAGAAAAATATCAAAAATTTTTAAAAGAATTTGGGGTTAGTCTTAAAATTGGAGCAATTGAAGATAATACTAATCGAAAAATCTTAGCAAAATTATTAAGATTTCCTAGTTCACATAAAAATTGGACCACATTAGATGATTATATTGGTAGAATGAAAAAGAAACAAACTAAAATGTATTTCGTAACGGGTAGTTCAGTTAGTGAACTTGAAAGTTCACCATTTATTGAAGGATATATTGCAAGAGGATATGAAGTTTTATATATGGTAGAACCAGTTGATGAAGTACTTATTCAACATATGCCAGGACATGGAGGAAAAATGTTTCAAAATATTGCTAAAGGAGATTCTAAATTAGATAGTGATTTAGAAGAAACGACGAAATTAAAATCGAAATATATTAAATTAATTGATTGGATGCAAACTTCACTTTCTGATTTCGTCGAAAGAGGTTTGTTATTAATATATATAATTTATTTTATAATTTATATAATTTATTTAATTAATGTTATTACTTTTTTTTTTTTTATTTACATAATTTTATTACAATTTTATTTTTATAATTCATTTTATAAATAATTTAAACAGTTCAAATATCTAATCGGTTAACCTCATCACCTTGTGCAGTAATTGCCGGTGATTGGGGTTTGACAGGACATATGGAAAGAATTATGGCTGGTAAATTTATTTAATAAATATTTAATTAAAATATTTTTTTTTATTAATAATATTATATATTTAATAATAATAGCAATAATAATAATAATAATAATATATTATTATAAAAATTATATTAATTGTATTAACTTTAAATTTCAAATATTAATAGCTCAAGCTTTCAAACAAGAAAATGATGTTATGAAAGATTTCTACGCCAATCAAAAGAAAGTTTTAGAAATAAATCCACATCATCCATTAATAATAGGATTATTGGAAAAAGTCGAAAGTGGTAAAAATGATGATAAATTGAAAGAATTGGTTAATGTATTATATGAAACTACTTTAATTCGTTCTGGATATATGCTTAAAAATAATTTAAAGTTAGTATAATTTATTATATCATCATTATCATTATCATTATTATTTTGTTATTTATTTTGTTATTATTTTTAAGATAATATTTATAACATTATTTTCATTTGAAATTTTAGTTATGCTTCAAATGTGGAAAAAATTCTTCGATATAATTTAGGTGTAGATCTTGAAGCTAAAGCTGAAGTTAATATTAAACCAGTTGTAGACGACGACGATGATGATAAAGAAAACGAAAAGAAAGATTTATTTGATGAATTAGATGATGAATCAACAGATCCCACAAAACCATCACTTGATGATGATAATGATGATAAAAGTAATGAGAGTGATAAAAGAGATAAAATTGATAAAACTGACAAAAGTGATGAATCTAAACCAATAAGAGATGAACTTTAAATTTCATTTAGTCACTTATTTGAAAGGAAGAGAGATTTTTTTTTTTTTTTAACCAACGGAGCCTCGCTCCAAGACGTTTATTTTAAATTATTTGAAAGAAGAGATATTTATTTTAATATATTTAATAAATTTAATAAATTTTATTTTAGGATGTAAATTAAAAGTTTGTTCTACTATTACACAATATATTAAACAATGTATCATGAATTAAAAGATCTTGCAAAACAAGATACCAGTCACTGGCAGTTAGTATTTATATAATGTCAGTAAATCAATCAAATAATATTAAACTTAACTTTTTTTGGGTATTTCCTACGAATATTTGAGGCAAAATATGGCATATATATATATATATATATTCACAAGATGAAATTTACAAGTTCAATGTGTACATTAATTTTGAATCAATTTTATGAAATGAGAAGCAATTTTTTTACTAAGACCATTCAAAAGCTTTTCTCTTAAGCTTAATCGTCTTTTTAATATCAATATTCATTGAGTTGTTTTTTAATGCATTAATCATTAATATTTACTTCTTATTGAATTTACGCCTTATTTCGGATTTTCTAATGATGGTAATGTCACCTTTTTTTTAACATTGAAAAAAAGATTTGAAAATCACTATTAAGACTCAATTAAGTTAACGAGCCAAGCTATGTTGAATAAGGAAAAGCATGATTAGTGTATTTGCCAAAATGATTTATAAATTGGCAAATAGGCAAAAACCAGGCTGCAAATAGATAGTTCAATTTTTGATTTTTTGACTAGAGATTATCAACTTTTTCGGATGTAACCACTATACTTTCTAACATAATATAAAAAGTAAATCAAATTGTCTTATTAAGAGGAGAATTTCCTTTTTAGGAAATAAAATTTACTTTTTTTTATTTCAACCAAAAATATGTGGTCACTTGTTATGTGTCAATTAATTAATTACCATTATTAATAATAAAAGCCATATATCAATATTTAAAGACTAAAATACATTATGATCTTTCCTAATTTCAAATATACCTTTCTCAGTAGCCTGAATTTCATAAACTTTTCCTAATGAAGTAAGATGCCTTTGAAAATATGTTTGTCTAAGTAATGCAACAATATTTTCAGCAATTTGCTGTTTTCCAATAGTATGAGTATCATTGATACAGAAGATAGATTCAGATAGAACATCAATATTAATTCCAAATTTAGTTGTAATATTATTTGGATATTGTTGACAACCATTAAACCCTTGAATAACTAATTTAAAAATAGTTAGGAAATACAACAAAAAAATATATCTATTTTTAGATATTTTTTAAACATACCATTGATCACATTATCTTTTTGAATATTTCGTTGTCTCATTCCAATATCATTCCACTTTATAATTAATAACATTGGATTAAGATAAAAATCATCATCTTCTTTAAGATCAATATTATTTGTTTTTGTAATCTTATACCACCGGATGATACTTTCTTGAGTTCCTTCATGGAATTTTTTTAATGATTCTGGTACCTTTCTTTTTGCTAAAAAAAATTAAAAATATATATTAGATTAAATAAACATACATTGTACAAGAGAAAATGGACATTACACCCAAAGATTTTAGAGAGTATCCAGCGAAAAAATAATAAAGTTATGCTAATGGGTAATGTAAATATAATAATAAGAGTTGTCAAAATGATACAAATAGTTTGCTTCATGGTAAAAGTGTAAACTGGACAGATATGATTGATTTTATCTTTATCATATAAAAATTTAAAAAATTGAAAAATGATAGTACATAAATCCTTAACCTATTTTGGTATTTTTACACTTTTACCCTTGTATTATAATCATATTTAACCCTACACTAAAGGTTGCTAATAATATAAAAATTCAAGTTTAAAATCAAGTGATTAATGAATGAATCATGAATCATGAAATTGGAAAAGAGATCAACACCTTCGTAGAATCTCATAAACGACTTCTTGCAGTGCTTCGAGAACGTCAGAAACGTCGAAAATTACTACTGGAAACTAATGAAGAACTAAAAATTTTTTTGAATACAGAAAAAAAACGACGTAAATCTCCAGTTTGCAATAAATCTAAGAAAAATGAGAAAAGTGTCGGCAGATCTTATAATAATCTTTATGGCGGCGTGGGAGGCGAAATTTCTTCAAGTTTTTCACGAAGGGGAGAAGAACGGCTTAGGAATCAAGAGGAGGTGGGATCCCAAATTATCACCACGTCCAAAGTTGATAATACACAGGAGGGGGAGAAAACGATTCGAAATGATTATTGTCAATATTTTGTTGATTCAGGACGTCGTCCCCAAAATTTCATTAGAGATACTGAACTTTCACAACGCTTTGATGAGTAAGAAATAATCAAATCTTTTAAAAATTGAATATTATTATTATTATTATTTTTGGTTTTTTTTTTTTAAAAAAAAAAATTCATTTTTTACAGATATCCCAAATTAAAAGAATTGACCAAATTGAAAAATGCTTTGGTGAAAAGCAGAGCGACATCCCCAACTTATCTAAAAGCGGATCTTAGGACATTTGATTTAAAATCACTTGGAACCAAATTCGATGTCATTTTGATCGATCCGCCTTTAGAAGAGTTGGTATTTTAACATATCATATTATTTATTATTTAATATCTTGCAACTATATGATTTCTTGGAAATATATGAAAGATCGTTAATCATTAAAATCTTTAAATAATCTTATAGGTATTGTAGAAGATCACCATTAGTAGCAGGAACAACAACAGATTTTTGGACATATGACGAAATTATATCCTTTTTTGAATATTTCTGTTCATAATTTATGATTTATAATTATAAGTTTATAATTCCATTTAACACCAAAATTTTACGCTAGTCTCAAAATTGAGGATGTAGCCGCAACCCCTTCATTTATCTTTATTTGGTCAGGTGATGCAGATGGCTTAGATCGTGGTCGTCAATTACTTCTTAAATGGGGTTATCGTAGATGTGAAGATATTGTATGGATAAAAACCAATAAGACTTGGGAGGTACACAATTTAATTGTAAAATTTATTGTTGTAATAATATTATTATTTGTTATAGATGGTTGGTTTTTTTTTTTAATAGGGAAGTCGGTTTTTTGAGGAACGATCTGTTTTTCAAAGAACAAAAGAACATTGTATAATGGGTATTAAGGGTACTGTTAGGCGAAGTACTGATGGACATTTTATTCATTGTAATGTGGACACGGATGTTATTATATCAGAAGAACCATCATTTGGCAGTTAGTAAAAATTATTATATATAATTAAAATATTATTAAAAAGCCTAATATCATCTTACGCTTATTTTATTTGGAATAATTATTTAACGAGTATAGGTACACGTAAACCTGAAGAATTGTATCATATAATAGAACATTTTTGCCTTGGACGTAGACGACTGGAATTATTTGGAGAGGTAAAAAAAACAATCTCTCTTTTCTTAAAAATTTACAATAAATATTTAGTAAATATTTTGATATGGTATTATGTAATTACCTTAATTATTTCTAAATAATATTTTAGGATCACAATATACGTCCGGGATGGCTTACTATCGGAAATGAATTATCAAGTTCTAATTTTAATGCAAATACATATGCATCAAATTTATCAGAACCAAATGGATACCTGCTTGGTTCAACGCCGGGTAAATAGAATTTATTATTATTTATTCGTTTACATACATTATTAACACATTTATCTCTCTCCCACAACATCAACAAACAACAACAACAACAACAACAATAATAATAATTTTAAATTATAAGAAATTGAGAATTTGAGACCAAAGTCACCCCCACCTCGAGATACTTCTACTCCTAAACTTGGTGTTGGCGGTGTTCCTTCAAATTCTGTTATGAAACCAAAACAAAAAAAACAAATCAATAATAACAATAATCCTATAACAGTTCCTCCTCAAATTCCTCAAATAACTCCATTTTCCACCCGATGGATTCCGCCCCCACCACCTCCACCTCAACAACCAATGGATAATAATAATGTTTATGGAAACTTATGATAAATATCATTTCATTTATTTAATTTTAACATGTTGCTTCCTTAAAAGATTTTGAAAAACATTTTTTTTTTATATTTTTATTTTTATGGTAAAACTTCTGGTACAATAGGAAAGAGAAAAATCATAATGAGAGAACTGTTATTTTCTAAATTATGATTTAGCAATAGTTTTGGTTATTCTTTTAAATATTTAAACATGCAAAATTTCTATCATACTTCTCCGATCTTCTCCTTGTCTTAAGAAATAAAGAACAATTTTAAAAAATATATCGATGATTTTATAATACTGCTTTTTTTACATCGTTATTATTTTTGTATTATAAGTTATTGGATTTCATTAAAATGATTAAAATAATTAAAATAATCAAGGGCTAATTCTTTGTAAAGCAAGAAAATAAATAATCATTTATTTATTTAATAACAATTTTGGATTTTGAGTTTGTTCTTTGTAAATGTTTATATTGTATATCTCTACGCTGTATACAAAAGATACAAAATACTATATCTAAATATATATTTACATTATTTATAAAATTTTTTTTTTGTTCTTGCACAAATGAATGTAGAAAAGATCATCATCCCTTATGTTTTTGTAAGAACGGAATATCTTCAAATAGTTGCTGTCACATTTAGTGGTAAGACGTGAGAACCTTGTAAATGGTATTTTTGTGAGAACCGTTGAAATTTATAAAAAAATTTTACAGGCGAACATTCTTATCTTGGTTGCAAACCCTATTTAGGTTCTACTTAAATATCTTCAAATCAACCTTTTATTTTTTATTGATTAATATTACTCGGGCTAATATAAAAGTACTACAATAGATATCTCTCAATAAGACAACTAAAGATTACTAAAATCCAATTACTAGTTATCAAGATAATTATCATAATAAATAATTAAATGAATCTTGATGTACAGTATATAATATTGATTTGATTTTTTAAAATTTATTTATAAAGAATCAATACTATAAAATATGTTATGACTTACGTTAACATCTATGTCGTGAGTTAAATGTAATACTCATGTCAACATCATTAAGTCTGGAAACGGAGATGTAAGATAAGTAAGCGTTCCCATTGGCTAGAGATAAAAATACATTTCTATTGGCTAGATACTGGTGTGGTGCATTTGCTTGTAAAATTAAAAAACAAATTAATTTTATTATAAACTCCTGAAATAGAGAGAATCTAATAAGTGAATTCTATTGAATAATTTATTCTATACATATATTGAAATAAATAAATTTTGAAGATTTCACCAATCCAAGACCTAGCGAGCATTATAAATTGCTAATGTGTTATTCTTTGTTATAATTAATCAAATTTAACAATATCTATTTATCAATGATAAGAGATAATTAAAATTGATGATTATAAAAGATATTATAAATACGAATACATATGTATTACCATAAAATTTACTAATTTTTGTTCTAAAAAATAATGTGTTTTGATGGCAATAAGTACGTATTTATTTTTGAATTTTATATATAGATAAGATATAATAAATAGCACATGATTTTCAATTAATTGACATGTTCATTCATGCATCAGTTATAAAGTTAATAAGAAAAGTTAACTCATATGTATAAATGCAAATAATAAATAATTACAAATATTTAGATGAAAAGACAATAAAGATTTATTTTAAATGATTACATACTGGTCTGCTAAATTTAAATAAAAGCTATACTCTATAATTCCAGTGATCAAATAAAATAATGAAAAATATAAAGATTAAATAAAATAATAAAACTATAAAGATCAAGATCAAATAAAATAATAAAAAATATAAAGATCAAATAAAATAATAAAAAATATAAAATAATAAAAATATAAAGACCAAATAAAATATAGTATATTTAAAATTAAAAGACAAATATTTATTCAATTAATTCCCAGTGAATGAAAGTTACATTCATTTTCTTCATCTTCAACTGTATGAATTTAAATATAATTAATAAACTAATATATCAGAGAAAATAATCAAAGAAATAAATTTACCAATTATATTATCAGGAATTGAAACAAATCGCTGTCTTGAATCTAAATAAATAATTAATATAAATTGTTCTTCAAAAAAAAATATAGATATTTATTTTACTTGTACTTACTAAATGTATCATATTCATGTATTGTAAGTTTAGATATGAGTCTACTTGTATATATTGCTTCAGAATG